CAACCCTGAGCCGGTGAGATTTGAACCGCTGACCTGCTGATCTAGCAGTAGCCTGCAGTGCTGCTTTTTAACCACTGCGCCACCTTGGCTCTTCATAGCCTGGGACATCATAAGGTTCTCCTCAGCGGCGTCCTCATCAGCTGCCGGCTGTTGTAACTCCAGCCGGAATTTCCTCAGGGTCATTTTTCTGTCCCACTCCCAATGACCACCTGGGGAGGACGGATCATTCCTCCAAATTCTGATCTGCCATCCGCTCCGTCTCCAAGAGACACGAGGATGCAGCTGCCCCCATATCGTCCTCCTGGTTGCTGCCTGGGTAGGACATTCCTTTGAAGGTTTTGGTTTTATACACTCCCCTCGGAAGGTGTTAGCTCCGGGATGAGTGCGAAAGTGAGATCTTGCTTAACGTCAAGCCAGCCTCCCTCATCAACCAAGAAAGAAACCACTTAACTCCATTTCACAGAATTAAGAGTAGTTTTACTGGTTATGAAAAGATAGCAGCTAAGCCAAGCAAGATCTGAGGCAAAAGCGCACAAAATCATACATATCAATATGTGACCCAACCCCCTTCCCCTGGTAACCCCATCCCTAGTCCAATCTGCAAATCCCTCAGGTGTCATGTGAGTTCCATCTTCAAAAAGCATCATCAGTTTGGTATGCAGGACAGTTGGACTTGGCGGGCCCATCCACTATCTCCAGCATGCGCAGTAGATGGTGAGAACAAAACTCCCTTTTTACAATCCCTCCTGTACTTAAAACTTCCCTTCCCAAATACCACCCCCCACCCCGCATTTCAATGGCAGCCGAAAGCAAATAGCGAAACAGAGGCTGACAGCTATGTCCAGTGAGGAGCAGCTACCCTCAATGGCATCTACATGATCACAAGCCTTCATTTTTATACCTTTTTTGCATCTCCTCTGTTCCCCTGGAATATTACCAGAGTAACTTCCTCTTTTTGCAGAGCCCTCCTTTTACCATACTTTAATGTGCCCATCTGAGATTTCCTACCCCCTGCACTTTCCCTTCCTCATTCACTTGATGTCCCAGACAGTCTCCACATACCCCCGTGTACATTTGAAGTTCTCAGACACCTGTTACTTTCAGTTCCTCATTTCCCACCATCCCACACTTCCTGTTCTAAATATATCTACATCTAGTACAGTCAGCACATTTGAAAATATTAGTCCGGTACATTTTGCAATTTTGCTAGTTTAAAACTTTGGTTCAATGAGGCCTGCAAGCTAACTCCTAGACCTATTACCTGCAACTTTCCAATTGATATTTTGTCTTCTCACATTAGTTAAGTAAAATACACCACAATAATCTCCTAATCCTCAACCATCTTCTGACCTCAATATTTTAAACCAAGGAAAGAACACATTTTTCTCTTCCAATTTCCCACCAGTTTCACAATCTTATAATTTTTATAATCCACCAGATCAGTCCAAAAGTTAATCCTGGAGTGACATGGAATGCTTCTTTGCAAATAATTATTTTTCTTTCTTCTCCTTCTCTCAATAATTAGTATGTATAATCCACAAGACCCACCAATTCCCCAAGGCATTATAACTCTCAGTTCACTGTTCAGAGTTCACATCTGCTTCTCTGTTTCACTTTGTTGGTTATATTTGTAATTCACAATAGTTCAAAACATTTCACTGTGTTCACTCTATAGCTCCAAACCTTCCATATAAACAGTTTACAGGTATTCTTCTTTCAGTGGTTAGTATTTGTAATCCACAAGGCCCATCAATTCCCCAAGACTTTATAAATCTCAGTTCACTGTTGGATATATTTATAATCCCAAAGCGTTAGAGTAAGGGGAGGAACAAAATACACTATTTGCAGTGTCTAACCAGTCCAGGAACCAAAAAAGAGGAAAAAGAATAAAAAAGAGAAATCATCCACGTGGTCTCAAAACAAATCCAAGCTATTTCTCTGCTTCACTTTGCTAGTTCAATTTGTAATCCACAATAGTTCAAAGCATGTCAATGTTTTCACTCTGTATCTCCAAACCTTCAAAGTAAACAGTCTGCAGGTGCTGTTTTGTTTCAGACTCCTTTCCAAAAATAACCACCCTAGTCATAACAGACTTCTTCCTTTCACTTGTAATATCCTCTCCAAACAGTAGATGCCGTGCTTGCTTAATTTGTCCATTTTTACTACAGTATTTATTTTAAAAGAAAACTTTTAAAGTCCATAAAAACTTAATAACCATAAAATCAGTTCCAATACTTTTTAAATGTGGGAAAAAACAAAGGGAACCAGTCCAGGCTTTCCTGTAGTTTTAGCCCGTGCCTTTTTAATAATAATAATAATAACAACAACAACAACAACAACAACAACNAAACTGCCAACTTTGCAACAACAAAGTTGAAACTGTTTCACATTTAATATGTGAATGCAGCAAAATTGCACAGCTGACTACAAAGCTAGACATTACGGGGGTTGTTAAATTAATCCACTGGTCATTATGTAAAAAATACGACTTACCTCTATCCAAAAAGTCATGGGAGCAGAAAGTTGAAAAAGTTACAGAAAATGAGAAGGTGAAGATCTTGTGGAACTTTGGAATACAGACAGACTGTCATTTGGAACACAACACACCAGATATCAGGGTTGTAGAGGCCTATACAATTTATTGACATTGCGGTACCTGGAGATGCCAGAGTCGAAGAAAAAGAACTGGAAAAAATCACAAAATACCACAACCTGGCCATCGAAACTTCCTGATTATGAATGAAACATGTAAAAGTGATACCCATTGTCATCGGGGCACTTGGTACCATATCCAAGAATTTTATAAGATACATCAACAAATTGCAGTCTCCTGCAATAACACTAGCAGAACTGCAAAAAGCTGCGCTTCTTGGAACATCATATATTTTAAGAAGGTATTTCTAGAATGCTGGCGGCAAACTGTATCAACCATTAGTACCAATCAATGGTATTTGTGATGCATTTTTGAATGTTCGGTTGACTGAGTTTCATGTTTAATGAATAAAGTATATAATAATAGTAATGATTTCCACCACCTGGCCAACCACTTGGGAGACTGGCTTGAATGTTTGCTGATCTACTATTTCTGAGAAGGACTGAATAAGGAACTGTACCAGAATTGCCTACTCCAGGAGAGTGCTGTGCAACCTTTGAGGGTAGTACCGTATGGCCACAAAGGTAGAGATTGACCTGTAGGAGTTCCTTGAGCACACTGGAAGTCTCATCACCCCACAGAAAAGTGACCAGCCCCTAGAAGGGGAAGAGAAGGTGCATCTAAAGCCAGAGGAGGGGGACCCCACCAAAAACTTGGTGGGTGCTTTTGTTGTGGGATGGAGGGGCACTGAGCTGTTGAGTATCTCGCACTGCAACCGATGATTGCTCCCTTGCCTCTGAGCCAACTGAAGAAGAAAAAAACTCAACTGAAATCAAGGGAGAAAACTTGTGGAGGGCAACAAGTCATAGAGGTCTCCCTTCCATCCAACAAGGGAGAGGGAACCCTGATCCCTGCTGAGATGGGGCCAGTCTTCTACAAGAGCAACAGTGAAGGAGAAGACGACCCAATGGTAAGTAGTCCCATTCACCCCATGACTGCTAGGGTGGAGATCTTGGAATCCTTCTTGGGTGTAAAGGAGGTCCTTATGGCCCTGTTGGACTTAGGATGCACCAGATGACTTGTCAGCTCCCAATTAGTAGAGAAGCTAAGGAAGCTAAAGAAGCATTTCCCCAACTAGATGGTTCAGTAATGAGCAGGGTGCTGGTAACCTTCCTAACTAAGCCTGTGAAGCTGAAATCCTGACATGGAGATTATTTGATTTATTGTGGTCACTGAGCTGACAGCAGCCTGGTATGGTGGCCAAAACATTGGCACAAATTCTTTACGGGGCACAAACAGGAATCCTNGTTGTGTCTGTGTGTGTCTTGCCTGTTGACCTGTGTTGTGTACGTGTGTTGTGGGTCTCTGTGTATCTTGCCTCTCAACTTGTTGCAAAGACCCTCCAACCGCGGAGTATTCTGGATATAGGGACGTGCGTGTGTGTGTTGTGTATGTGTGTTGTGTCTCTCCGTGTGTGCCTTACCTGTCGAAGTGCTGCAAAGACCCCCCTCCCCAACCCGGGTCTTCCAAGCAGCCCCTCCAGCAAACCCCTTCGGGCACGGCCGCCCGCCCGTTGCGCGCAGCCCCCTCTGGCCGCTCGGCGATCGGCTGGGATCGGAGAAGCCGGGCGGAGGGCTGACAGGCTGGCTGGCTGCTCCGGCGCTCGCTCGCTCGGGCTCGTGTTCCGGCAGGGACTCTATTTCCAGCAGGGCTGAACCCGGCAGTGCAAAGGCGGGGAGCGGAGAGGCGGTTGCGCCGCGGCCGAGGATGGGCGCCATGCGGGCGGCGGCGGGGACGGCTTTGCAGGGGCTCTTCGCCGTCTACAAGCCGCCGGGGATGCACTGGAGGGCGGTGAAGGAGACGGTGCAGATGCATCTGCTCAAGGGTGAGTGGTTTCCTCTTTTCCCCCGTCCGCCTCCCTCTCCCCGCGACCAGAGGCGGCTGCCACCCCGGGGCGGCCTGAGCTGGGTGGTTTTCCTGCAGACGTTTCGTGACCAAGCTAGGGGACACCATCGGTGATAGAAAAACGTGGGGTGTGGGGAGGAAGAGGGGGGATGAAGGAGGAAGGAGAAAGGGGGGAGGAGGAGGACTATGGGATCCTCGTTCCTCTCTGAGCTTGATGGTTTTCTTGCAAACTTTTCATGACCCAACTAGGGAACTTCATCAGTGCTACAAGGGAGTGGGGTTGGCTGGGAGGAGGAGGAGGACTGTGGGGTCCTTGGTGCTCTCTGAGCTAGGTAGTTTTCTTACAGACGTTTCATGACCCAACTAGGGAACATCATCAGTGC